GTTATTTTACATAGGTAGCAGAGCTACCAGGGTATATTGAGTATTGGGGGTTTATTTATCAGGGGCTGGAGAAGAATAGATAACATATATTAAAAAACGTGCAGATAAAGCCTAGAATCAATTATAACGTATATAAAAACTCACAGAACTAATGCAGTTGCCATGCGTTTTTCTTAAATTCGGCATATAAAATAATTGGAGTATTAATCTTAATGAGTGGCTAATCATGGCGTCAACCAGTGGTGCTGATAATAAAAGTTCGCTAAAATGTGTGAAGCAACTAAGTCTTTTACAAAAAATACACAACGACAAAGAGATCCTCTTTGGAAAATTTTGTTCAACGTTGACGCGAACTACAAAGCAAGAAAAGTGAAATGAGGTGAAAGAATACGCTGTGTCGATAGGGATTATCACGAACGACAACGATTTTGCGCATGTGCGGGATACCATCTGGGGAAATCTTTAAATAAACTATAGTAAATTGCCATTTTTAGCCGTTGTGGCATTTTCTAATGTAGATGTACTTGTTCTTTCTAGCTTAAAATAGATAACAAACGACGCAGTGGAATGGAGGGTGGCACCGAATACAAAATGACTGAAGTGGACGATTTAGTTCTACAAATTATGGGAAAAGAATCACTAAACGTAAAAGGCCTTGGCATAGCTGATTCAATGCAAAATGAAGAGACTTTGGAGCAAATCTACCCCAGCTATCACCGGGGGCACAAAATCCTGCATTATCTGCACCACCATCAGCGCCTAGGCTTCCTCGAACGGGAACTGAAAATTGTGACCAACACAAACGTCAGCCCACGGAAAGCGATGTATCCCACTCGAAAAACCTCAAGTTGGAATAAGAAATAGAGCAGCTGAAGCTGATGAACTATAAACTCAGGCTTGAACTACTGGAAAAGGAGCGAAGCCTGGGCTTACAGCCTTCAGACTTCAACATTGGACGAGAATGTGAGAATGAATTGACCTTTGGAGAGTTATCTTAGTTTGTATTTTTGGTTTTAGTATTTTTACGCATTAATAAGATAGTTATAAAAAAACTTTAATTTTTGACATCGTGATCGTCTTCGACGGGTACGTTGTTGACACGTACAGTTACTGGCTTTTTTGTTATGTTGCAGAGAACAACCGAGCATATCACAACCTGGGCTGCATGTGATAGTTTTAAACGTAAATATGTCAAGCACGGAAACTTTTCCTTCAGTATTCCAATAGCCCTTTCTATAGCCGAACAGGTACGTTTATAAGCAATCCGAAAACGCCGTTGTGATGGATCATTCGGATTTCCAACGACGGGTGGAATAAGCCTCGTTTTTAAAGGATAAATGGAGTCGCCCATTAACACACCATCAGGAAATGACCTCCATCCTTGCCTCATTTAGGTATACAAACTTAAATTTTTTAAAACTCGAGCATCATTGACACTGCCTGGCCAATTCGCATTACAGAAATGGAAGGTGTAATAACATTTAAGGAATGATGCCCGTTCCGATCAATGAATGCAGCTTCATTTTCTGAAGGAGCATCTATTTCAATTAGTGTACCATCGACTACTCCACATATCACATTTTATCGAACCCACAGTCTATTGTCGATGGTTTTGCACAGCACTTTTCTAGCGTTTTCTGTGATTCTTCTACAGATCCTCTATCAGGTGATTCCAAATGCTGTGATATGTCCAATTGTGATAATTCTGTCTATGATATGTGTAACTGTGATATGTTGATATGTGACAAAATTCTTGGTTGTGATTTTAATATACCAGTGCTACACAAATTTAATATCACGGAAAATGGCATTATTGAAGCTAATCGGAAGATTAGACCTAACTTAACGATGGGTACTGACAACATTCCTGCTTTCTTTGTTCGGGACTGTATTTCATGTTTAGCAAAACCTTTGTGTTATTTATTCAATCTAATTGTTGAGTCGGCGGTTTTTCCATCTGTTTGGAAGACAGCGAAGGTCTGTCCAATATTTAAATCAGGATTAAACAAAGATGTTACTAATTACAGACCGATAGCTATCATACCTAATTTCGCTAAACTGTTTGAGACCATATTATCTAAGATTATTTATAGTCATGTTATTCATCAAATACCCGACTTTCAATATGGATTTGTTCAAGGTAAATCAACTAGTAAATCTTTGTGAATTTATACACTTTGTTTATACAGATTTGTCAAAAGCATTTGATAAGGTAAATCACAGGATTATGTTAAACAAATTAAAATCTTTTGGATTATGTAATAATTTAGTGTCTTTACTTAGATCTATACTTGCTGATCAAAAACAGTTTGTAGAGTATAGTGGTCACAAATCTTTTGTTTACGATTGTCTATCCGGATTGGTTCAAGGCTCAAATTTAGGTCCCCTATTATTTGTCATATTATTTATACACGATATTGTTAAAAGTGTAAGTCACGCCTGTAAAATCTTATTATATGCAGATGATCTTAAAATAATCAAAGTCATAGATAACATAAAAGATTGTCTAATTTTACAACGTAACATAGATTGGTGGAATGTTAATAGGAATTCAATGCATATTGAATGTACCCTGAGATATCGACTTGAATTTCGGCATTTCTGATTCGCTCAATCATATTTTCACATGTTGTTGGTTTTTGTTTGAAATCTTTGTTTTTGAGATAGCCCCACAAAAAGAAATCTGGCGGCAATTTACCGGACCAGCTTTACAGATCCAGTGACCATTGAAATCATTACTCATCATCAGTCATCAAGTACTTCACGTGCTACCATCGAATAGTGTGTCGTCATCATAAGGGAGTTGTTGGTTGCGCTGATATATTATAGATGGGAAACTCGTGTAGTAAAATTAAATTGTAATCTCAACTGCAGCGTCACTACGTGACTTGAGTGAAAACTAATACTTTTGCGGGTTATTTAAAAATAAACTTATATAATATGTGCCCACTTTTCTGGTATTAATAAACATTTATTAATGTACTTTTTACATTGGTTTTACGAATCAAAACAAAAAAATAAAAAATAATTATTTCATTCTGTCATATAGTTAAGTTTAAGTTAGGCAACCCAATGTACAAACATGTAAACAGGTGTAAATATGAATAAACGGGCAGTCGAAGCTGAACCATCTTGTGTGCAATACCTGCACCACCCGGCTCCTACCAAACAAGACATAACACATTCATTTCATTAAAAAAAAAAACTATATACATACATACTTAAAAAAACTAAATTAATTACATTAATTGGCTAAAACTTTTATATTCTTGATCTTCTCGCTGAATTTTTTATGGGCAAGATACTTTCTTTTTTTTGCCAAAACTTTTATAGTGTCGTGGACACTAAAATTAGTTTCATCACGCCCCCTTAATATTTTATTTACATTTCTGGTCCAGACATGAATATGAAATTCTGCGAGGTAATCAGAAAATAACTGTATCAAGTCATGTTCACTACATTCAAAATGATATTTTTGTGTGCTACAAACAAAGTGTACATATTTGCTAACTAATGGTTTAATCTGACTCTTATGTGATATTAGGGGCAACAAGTGTGTCAATAAAAATATGCTTCTTTTAAAAATCATATAAAAATTCGTATGTGGCAGCAACAGAGATTTTATTGAGTACGCCCGATATTTAAGTACTTTCGCCATTTACGTAATGGTTGTGGTTCCCTATTAAATTTTTCCTGCATTTATCACATTGTGTGATACCTTTCAAAATTTTTTTTGCAATGAAACCCCCAATATACACTTCCACGTTTTTTCTCAATATTGGTGTATCCTCGTAAAATTCCTGCATAATTTTGTCAGCTACAGTTCCATCAATATTAGGATTTGCTTCTTCAGCAACAGTTGTTCCTATTGTCTTATCTTTTCTAAATATAAATTCTTTTAAATTGTTCATGAAAACTGTATCGCCAGCTTGACAATTTACCCCTGGTGAATGCGTAGACATAAAATCACTAATTATCACTGACTTGTATGAATTACTAAATGCCTGGCATGTAGGGTTAATAGCCCGCGCTCCATGGCTTCTTAGTCGAGAGAAAAAAATTTCCACCGGATCTTGATTCAAGTTCCTTGTGCAAAGAAACTTAAAGTCTTCTGTTTTCAGTGTCGTCCAAAGATACCGAAAGCCTTTAAGTGCATGGATCCAGTTTTTCACGCTGGGAGGCGCAAATTGTCAACCATTTTTCTTAAAAAATTTCATACTGTCGAAAACAGTGACTGCTTGCAGCCAAAAGTCATAATGCAAGGAATTTGCAGTAACTGCAGGTCGTCATATAGAAACCACATGTTCTATCACACTTCTAACCTTCAATTTTCAAGAAATGTTGGCAGTTTGTTTTTTAAAATGTCTGGGTACATTTAACCATTCAAGTTGCCTTCAATAATGTGGCGATTCATTTTTGATTATTTACAATGAAAAGGTGGTATTTTTTATTGCAAACTTGCATACATAGGTTCTCATTAGGAAAAATTGGTCTAAAGAGTTTAGATAGTACTTCCCTCGCTGTCGGAAACGTGACGACGACATGCCTATTATGTTTTTTTTTCTCATTACATTTTTGGAGAATTTAAAAAAAAATTGTGATGACGTCATCCGTCATCAACATTTTTGCAAAGACACGTATATCAGTTTGGATAGATGTAGTGTAATGTTAAAAAAATTGGACTAGGCGGTTGAAATTTATGCGCTGCGTATGGACCACGGCAAACCAGTGGCTCGCAACCGATGCTACGCATCGCGAAGAAAATTTTGAGGAAACTAACGTTAACTGAACGTCAGTTAATGATTTTAAAATCCATATCCACGACATAATAATAATAATATTTTTAATAATTTTCAAGTGTCGGTCTCGCTGAAAATAAAACTATTTCTGTAAATTATTAAAAATTATGCACAATTGGAAAGCGAGAAACGAGTAAGCAAGGATGCACCGGCCGCACTTCAGATGGGTAGATAGGATGAATAAATTTTGACCGCCCAGCTTTATTTATAAACAACGACGTCGAAATGCTTAGCAATTTTACGTTTTCGTGCTAGGCTACCGTGGCAAAGCATAGCAAAACTCATCTGTGCGTGATGTTCGACGCCTCGCATGCTGTTGAATGCGCCAAGGTCATCAAAAAAGGTTGTGAGTGGAAAAATGTATTTACAGCACATTATCAACGGGAATAATAATAAATAATAAATAATAAATAATAAATAAACTTTATTTCCAACAGGTCTTACACCCACTTACAGGAAATAATAAAATTAAACTATATGTGATTGAGAGAGTACATAAGTTACTTAATTTAGAAATTATTATAAAAAAGAAAAAAAAATACATAAATAAAGAGAAACCGGGATAAACTGCACCAAAATTAAGTAAAACTTCCTAAATTTAAAGACCAAATTCTTCAATAACAGCACAGTTTAACGAATTCGCCTTGCCAAAATTAATATCAAACTTCCTACATATTTGGTTATAGTAATTACACATTAAAGATATGGGGGATTTATACTTAGCATTGGTTCTATTGAACGAACTATAAAAAGTATAAACATGCCGTGTGCCCTGACGCGGAATAGCAAAATTTACTTCATTTAAAAGTGATGAACAGTTAATTTTATAATTAACTAAATTATACAAAAATCGAACTATCAATATTATTCTTCTTGTACTCAGCGAGTTAATATTAAACCTAGAAAGTAAAGTCCCATGATCGAAGCCTCTTGCAAGGTACGAGCCGTCTAAGAGCAAACACACAAATTTTAAAAATGATCTTTGAACTGATTTAATGAATACAATATGTATTTTGTATATAGGAAACCAAATAATTTCTCCATACTCCAACCTAGATCTAACTAAAGAAAAAAACAGCAGAAATAAAGTACGTATATCAGAAAAATCACGACAATTCCTATACATAAACCGATTTATATTGACTGAGTTAATATTATATGGATAGTTAATGGTTTGTTTTTTCTAGAATATGTTACAACATTACATTTAGAGACATTTAGCGACAGTCGATTCAAGTTGCACCATCTCAAAACTGCATCAAGGTTCTCTTGTAAAGCTTCACCGTCCTCTGTCCATTTAATTTCAGCATACAATTTATAATCATCGGCAAATAAGAGACTTTCACAAGTAACAACTTCTGGCAAATCGTTAATAAACATAAAAAAAGGAGAGGTCCTAAATTGGACCCCTGGGGTACTCCCGAAGATGGTGAAAATGTCGAAGAAGTATACTTGCGATATCTCATACTGTTGTCTACCAAGCAAATAAAACTTTAACAAAGCTAGTAGTTCCGCAGAAAAACCCAAGGCATTTAACTTGTTAAGGAAAACAAAATGATCAATCTGATCAAAGGCTTTTTGGAAGTCCGTATACACCACATCAACTTGACTGTTATTGTCAATAGCTTTAGATACAAATTGCGATAGGCAGGCTAAATTGGAGATTGTAGATCTTTTCTGTACGAAGCCGTGTTGAACTGGAGTGATCAAATGACTAACAGATGAATAAATGCGCTTATATATAATAGACTCGAAAACTTTAGCAAAATTGCATATTAAGCAAACTTGCCTATAATTTTCTACATTGGCTTTATCACCCTTTTTAAAGATTGGACAAATAGCAGCATTTTTCCATTGAGATGGAACCGAAAATTGCCGAAGTATTAAATTGAATAGCAAATACAACGGGTTAACCAGAACCGATGCACAGTCTTTCAAGAAGAAGTTTGGAATACCGTCAGGTCCAGATGTCATAGTATTTTTACAGGACTTTAATGCTTCTATTATTTCATCTTCCGATATATATGAGATCGTTAGGTTCAAATTTTGAATTAAGTGTAAAGTAGATGGTAAGTTGTTAGGGTCTGATTTCACATACCCGCTACTAAAGTATTCACCAAAAGCATTCACTATAGACTGCGGTGATTCCAACTTAACATTATTGAACTCCATTGACCCAGGAATCCTAGTTCTACCTTTCTTGTCCTCGATAAATGACCAAATTTTTTTTGGATCACTTGAGACAACAAGTTCCATATTTGAGATATACCTTCTATAGGCGGTAGCCATGAGAGTTTTAATTTTAGCTCGATGACAGCTAAATAGTTGATAATAATATTGCGTTTTGAATTTTTTGTATTGCTTTAAAATTTTGTTTTTGTATGAAGACTTCTAATAATTTCTGAAGTAAACCAAGGTGGATAGTAAGCTTTCCGAGATCGGTTAACTTGCAGTTTAGGAACATTTGCGTTAAAAGCTTGATGTAATAAATTTTGAAAAATAGTGTAGGCAATTTCAACATCATCGCACGAGTCACAACTCGACCAGTCAGTGGAAGCTATTAAGCTATACAATAAAGGAAAGTTGGCCCTCCTAAAATTATAACTTTTTTCGTTATGGTTCATGCAAAAATTAGTGGACTTATTGGGAATTATATTCAGTTTAATAAACAAGGTAGGATGATGCGGATCTTCATCAACTAGAGGAGTCAAACATTTGTCTACCTGAATATTAAGATTGGTAAAAACCAAATCTAGTAAGCGATTAAGATGATTTGGTATGTTGTTGTATTGACTAATGTCCTGAAATTCCTTGAAATTATTTATTATATTGCCAAATCTGTCTGGTGTAGATGTATTGAACGAAGGCGTATTAAAGTCACCTAGTATCAGTACTTTGTCATCCCCAAGAATTTTCAACGAACTTAGAAGATCAAAGAATAAGCTGAAGTCATCGAAAGAAGTTGAAGGCGGTAAATATATAAGTAAAACATACAACTTCACAAAATTAGTACCTTGTAGCTTAGCACCCACTATATCTATCATTGGTAACATTTCATTAAAAATAGACAAGTTCAAATTAGTTGTCGATAGTGTATCTTTGAAAGCTAGCACTACACCACCTCCGCTACTGAACTTGGAACCTTCAGTTATTCGATCTTTGCGAAATACTACGTAGTTATGAGGAAATATTTCAGAGTCGCTCATGTCGGTTTTTAGCCATGATTCAGTTATTGCTATTATGTCAAAATTTACAGAAGAAATCGCATTGAAAAAATCGACTACCTTAGATCTCAAACCACGAACATTTTGATAAATACAATTAAGGGCTTTGTAACTGTGTGTTGAATCTAGTTTAAACGAACAATTTTTGGAGTGCCATTAATGTAGCGAATTCTGAGATTAGCTTCTCCATTATTAGTTCTGTTATCAAGTTCCCGTTTCAACTGCTTATAATGTTCGCGCTGTCTAATCGTGCGATCTCGTGCCAAAGATATATTATTGAAGTTTGCATTATTTTTTAGAATTCTGTTGTTACGAATAAATTTAACGACTTCAGATTCATCAGCTAAAGTAATTTTAATTGGTCTACTATGAGCAGCTTCTCGTGTATGTTGACCTAAACGATAAACTTTTAGATCCTGCGGAACTATAAAGTCTGGTCTAACCGTTTTAACACGTTATAAACTAATTCACAGTCACTTTCCATCCTTTGAACGCCCTCTTCCTGTTCAGGAACACCATATATGATTATGTTTTTGCCCCTCTTTTGTCTTTCATAAACTTCCTGGACCACATCTTCAAACTGCTGAGATGAGTGCTGCAACTGTTGGTTGTTGATAGATTCCCTAAGAGCATTTATTTGAGTTTCACAATCAGTTTTTAACTGGTTTAGAGACGCAGCCAATTCTGCTTGTAACGATGAAATCATTGTTTGAAGATTTTTGAACATAACTATATTACCATTACAAGAATTGCATACCACCTTTATGGACTTTGATTTCGATCTAGTTAGTTTGATTTCGTTTTCTTCTGGGAATACATTACATCGGAAGAATGTTACGTAGACATTTGTTTGATTTGAATTAGTTTATCGCCCCAAAACATGACTAAAATTATTCATAATCCTAATAATAATTGAACAAAATATTCTGAATGTTATTATTATAATTTTTACCTTATTTGTTATAAAGACGGGCGTATTCTCATATGGGGTGGCTCGTGCTTAATTTGACTAATAATAAATTGATTTTTTTGAGTCACTTGTTTAAGCAAATCTAAAAAATATGAATGCAATGATTAAAAGTCTGTTTATATTTTGCACATTTGCGAAATAATTTATTTGGCAAAATTTTGAGATGCCGTAATCAATTTTTGGGGTTGATAAACAGATACATTTTCATTAAAAAGTTGCCATGCTTACAATAACTTCAAAACGTCATGATTTCAAAGTATTCAGTTTTGAAATTCTTGATTTAATCAGTAAAATAAATTGACTCAGTCATTAATTTTTTTCACGCACCCCGTATAAGCAAATCAAAAAAATATTTATGCAGTGATAAATCACAATTATAGACTCATCATATTTTGCACAACACACATTTAAGATAGCATTTTTTCAGAAAAATTTTGGGTGGCGTGAACAATTTTTTAGGGGGGGGGGGGTGAGCAAATATATTTTGATCAAAAATTTACCATGCCTAGGATAACTTTAAAACATCTCCAAGATTTCAGACCATTTGGTTTTGTGGTTCTTAATTAAATCAATAAAATAAATTTTCACATTCATTAATTTTTTTGGGTCGCCCTGTATATGCAAATCCAAAAAATATGAATGGAATGATAAATTACAAGTACAGACTCATCATTTTTTCTATATTTTAGATAGGATTTTTTCGTCAAAGTTTTGAGATGACGTTATCAATTTTTTGGAGGGGACAAGTAAATGTATTTTGAATAAAAAATTATCATGCCTATCATAACTGTAAACCATCTGGAAGGTTTCAAAGCATTCGGTTGTGCAGATTCCAAATTAAATGTCCAAATGTTGTTTGGTTAGCGTTTTACCATTTACATGATATACCTAATATAAATGCAAAATTTGACAACAATCGGCACAGTACTTTCGGAGATTATCTGTGTAATAAAAATCCGGGACGGCAAACAGACGGACAGACGGATAGACAGACGGAAACGGGAGACCTCTTTCGTCCTCTAGGGGTCATGATAGGTCCGGAAAATGCAAGAGTAGAGGGTCGGGCGACGGACTCGATTGCAGTACTTCCTTTGCTTACGCTCGGGAAGTAAAAATTGAAAATATTGAATTTCATTATTACAGTGTCATCTGTCGTGAATATAAAAAGGTGTTTTAGACAAAAACCCTACGTATTTTTGGCCCTAGAATCTGAAGCTCTGATAAAAATTTGGGGTTCCTATTTAAGATTATTAAGTTACCCCCGCTTCAGCTACAAGGAGTGGGGAAGGGGACCAGTTTTTTGCACTAAATTATTTCCCCTATGGAATGATTAAATTTTGGATGTGGAGATTTTTTTGTAGGGTGGTTATTTTTCAAGATATTTGAAAGTTTTAGGTTAAAATATCACCCTGTATATTTACGTGTATAATATATGTTTTGATTTCTCCCGTAGAATTTACCCGGTTGGACAAATGAAGGTTATTCTTATTAGTGTGAATCATATTATGTAAAAGGGCTAAATCTGTTGTTAGATCAACACGTTATCAATTTCATGAAATGTCGCGATGATTAAAAGAGCTTTTTTTCTAGTATTTCCATAGACGTCTAATATTTTTTTTGTCAAGAAACGTATACATTATTTTTTTATTTATTAACCATTTATTTTAGATCGATAGGAACTGAAGACCTGATTCCTGTATTATTTGTCCTTGTTACATTTTAATGAAACAACTAAAAAACTCTAACGATGTTTAAATATGCGTAGACACGGAAAAATGCGTACCGCAGAAAGTTCAGGGCTGACCTATTTATAACAGCTATCAATAAAAAAATAATGTATCGTATAACTTAAGGTAGTAACAGTTCACAAAAACTATATTTGTACGGACTTCAAATAAAGAGGTTTAATTTACCGCTTAATTTTTTGAAATATGTTCCATTTTCGACCAACGTTGCGGTGAGTTTCACAATTATTATACTTATTAATATTATTATATTATGCCGTGTAAGCTACTGTACATAACTTTATAAAAAGTGTTCTTTTAGTTTTCTTTGATTATTATCAAAAAATGCGACAGACGGAAACCTAAAATTACAATTTTATTATTTAAGAAATATTGTAATCGAGTCCTTAGGGTGACTGATTGCTTTCATATTTTCTCGATGGGTCATGACCCCTGAGTACGAGAAAATGTATCTCCGTTTTCCATCTGTCTGTCTGTCTGTCTGTCTGTCTGCCCGCCGTCCATGACGACTGATTGAGAGATACAGTTCTGAAAGCGAGGGAAGTAGGTAGTGTCTCAACCCTTTAGACCAATTTTTACTGTTACTGTTGTTATAGTAAATGTAAAGGTCGGAAGGCTAGAGCTATGGCCGTTTTATTAAGGGTGAAACATTTTCGAAACTGTATAATACGATGACTTCACTCAAATTACTTCCGAATTAATAAAACTAATTTTAGGTTTCTTTCAACAAGAAGAACCTTCGAAGCAAAACAAACAGAGATATTCTCTGAATTGTCCGAAAAATGGTGGGACGTTAACGGTGTACTCAAACCTCTTCATGCAATGAATTTATTACGAATTCCATGGATTAGAGATCGCTTAGGTGTTATCGGTGCTTTTAAACCTTCTGCAACAGAAAGTACTCCATTTTCAGGGTTGTCGTTTTTAGACGTGGGTTGTGGAGGTAAATACGATAATGCAACAACATCAAAATAATAACCAGACATGTAGTAAAGTTCGTGTCGACACAATTCACACAATCTTGCCGGAAATACTCAATACTTTGTGAAAAATATTTCAGATAGTAAAATAGAATAAAACGTTATATGTAGGTACTTCTGGCATAATAGCCAATTGTGGCCCTCGGGAAATTAAAAGCCCTCCTTCGTCGGGCTCTAAAGATTTCCTAGTTATGGCCTTAATACATAAATAACTATTATAATTTTATTGTAAAAAAAAAGGTTTGAGATATGACATTCTAGGTGGAGTTTTATCAGAGCCTTTAAGTCGTTTAGGAGCAGACGTCGTAGGTTTGGATTGCAACAGCGACATGTTAAATCTAGCAGTTTCACGCTTACAAAAAAAGCAACTTCTGAATTTAAACTATGTACAATCGACAATTGACGAATACGTTGACGAAAATACGGAAAAGTACGATGTCGTGGTGGCTTCCGAAGTTATCGAACACGTTGAAGAAAAGGGCGAATTCATCAAGGGTTGTGTCAAATGTCTTAAACCTGGAGGATCTATCTTTGTCACAACGAACAGCAAGTCTCCGATCGCGGAATTTCTTGCCATTACGGTAGCGGAAAAAATTTTTCGACTGGTACCTGAAGGAACCCACCAGTACGAAATGTTTGTCGATATCGACGATCTGAAACAGTTACTTCAGAGAGGTATTTTAATCAGATTTTGACCAAGTTTTTAATATATTTTAGTTTACAATTTGCAGAAGAGTGCCATACGATTTTCAGCAGTGGAGCGATATACAACCCCTTTATTAATAAATGGTTTTTTATAAAAAATCATTACATTCTGCATTATGTGCTGCACGCTGTGAAACTGAAAAAGTAGTTTCAGTATTGAACTTTTACTTTCATCGGTGTAAAAGCAAATATTTCCAAATTTGTAAAGATTAATAATGGTGGGAAGAAATGATTTAAAAAAGTCGAAAATGTCCATGAGCTTGGAATAGAACAAAGTAAACCACAGATATTTGGTAGAATTCATATGTTCACATTTATAGTTACTTAAAATAACAATAAGCAAAATATACGCAGGATGTACTTCTATATGTATAATATACTATACAGGTATCCCGTAAAAAGTGGTATACCGCTCGTGTGCAAATTACACTCAAATTATTTTTTTCAAGCGTAAGCGAAGGAATTATTAAATTATTATAATCGAGTCCGTCGTCCGGATTTAAATTAGACAGATCATCTCCGAAACTACTGGTCCGATTGTATTCAAATTTTGTATATATAGTACGAATAACCAAACTTTATCTAATCATCCCCACCAAGAATGTGATGATGTCACCTCAAAATTGTACATAGTAGATGGATTTCAAATTGTGTCAAATAACATAGTCTTTCACGTGTGGTTTATAAGTCCGTGTTGAATTTTTACCCGAAACTATAAAATATAAAAGATACAAGGAGTTTAGCCTTGTGATCCTTATTCATATTTTTTTCGATGTGCTTATAGTGGGTGACTCAAAAAAATTAATTAACGATTGAATTTATTTTTTTTTTGAATAAATCATGAACTGCAAAACCGAATGCTGTGAAATCTTGCAAACAATTTAATGTTGTCGTAATAATGAAATATTAGTCGCTAAGCTTTCTGAGTTTGGTCTGTGTAACGGTCTGTTGGGTCATCTTAAATCATTATTGTCTGGTAGGACCCAGTGTGTAGAGTATGGTGGCCACAAATCTAGGTTATTTGCTACAAATAGCGGAGTAACTCAAGGCTCTAATCTCGGTCCAGTCTTATTCAACATTTCAATGAATGACATTAGGAAGAATCTTTCTTGTCAAGTTTTTCTCTATGCTGATGATTTGGAAATTTTGAAAATAGTCAAAAATTATACCGACTGTCTCATTCTATAAATTCCAATTGTGGTGTAAAATCAATAAGCTAATAATTAATAAGGATAAGTGTAGTGTGACTTATAGGCACTTTTATCAATGCCAATAATATAGATTAGTTGCTTAACAATCGACGTCGTTAGATTCGACTCATTCTTGCATACCCACAAACGTACAGGTAAGAATTGCTTTTTCAAGAAACCATAGTCTGAACAATTTAGTATTAAACAACCTTAACCTTATTTTCGTATCTCCCGTGTGAGAGAAAAAATGCATCATATAACGATGTTCCACTTTTTGCAGGATATCTTGTAGGTATATAATTATAAAATCAGAAAAAGTGAAAATTTATTTTCTAATTAAAATTCGTTATAGCATGACTTAATAACGATTAGGATTTGCGATTTTCTGTAAGTATGTAAGCATATATAAAAAATATTTTCGGCAGATGATTTGAATTTTTTTCTAAATAAGTATCTTTCAAATTTCTCTTTTTTCAGTTTTAAAAATTGTAGCATCGAATAAAATAAGATTGTGATTGCGAAGATGATTATTTTATTAACCAAAGAGGTCAAATGCGGTGCAAAGATACAAAAACAAACGACTGAGACAGAGACAGGAAAAAAAACAGGAAAAGGAAACCCACTATCATTGGAAACTCGAATGAATCATCCACCATATGTTATCAAGGGAGGAATTTCAAGAAATTAATTGTGGGAAATTTAACGCTAAAGTTTGCACCTGGAAGTTACAAAAAAAACAATGCTATATTAATAATCTTTCATAAGAGCAAAGTTGGTAAATGGACATAATTTTAAGTAAATATGATACAATGTACGACATTCTTTGTTTTTAGAACTGACAACAGTAGAAATGGAGTACACAAATATTAATCTAAACAACAGGTATGGAGATGTGGCAAATTTTGTAAGTTATGTTACAATCCAATTACAGGGATCATGTGGGTCTGATTCGATTGCCGGACATATCATACCTTGATTTCTACAGGGTGAGTCACTAAGCGTGCGCTCCTCGATATCTCATTAATTATTAGAAATAGATAAAAGTTTATATATTTTTACAAATTTTAATTGAGTCCTACTTGAGTATTACAAACCAGTTTTACTCATTGTTTTGCTCTTTTGTAATCTGTAAATATTGTGTAAATCCACTGTCCATTTCAAATTTTTTGTAAATTGCGTCTACCGAACAATAGAGGGTGCCACCGCGAAATGACTCAAAATTGTCATCTTCTGATAAATTGCGCTTATTTTACCTAAAGTCAAATTTTTCGGTAATGTAGGCGTCCGACGACACTGCGTGTGACAAATACATCAACGTAATCAAAATGGTCAGATGAGCCAAACATTAGTACGTAAGTTTTTCTTAAGCGTATTTTTTTTAATTAGTTAATTAATATAGTTAATAATTCTTATTTTGAATTTTTACTTTTATCATTTAGTATATTTATCTCCAAACTAAAATAAAAACAGCGATCAGCTGACAAAGTAACACATTATAGTTATCGTCCGGCAAAAAGTGTTCATTTCAAGATATAAATGTAACATATCAAACAGTTTATTATTATTGCCAGCATTTTTTTAACATATAAAATAATCGCAATAGAATAAATCTAGAAACAAGGTCAATCAGAAAAAGAAGCATTTGATAACAACTGTTTCTTCAATTTTTTAATGTACTCGATACCCTTCACAGTTGCGTCCCATAACGCATCGTCATCACATTCTAGTTCGTCGAGATCTTCCAACAGACGCATCAAACTTTCATGAATTATGTAGTAATCCACAGAATCCTTTGTTCCTAAATAACAGTTAACGCTATCCTCTAAAATTTTAGCGCAAGCAACAACCTTTTCGACAAATTCAATACTCTCCCTGTCTAGAACACCATCAATTCGTAAATTTTTAAAGTAACTTTCTACATTTATAACGTTCTGCCACTGCCGCTTCTTAAATACAGATTTCGCAAGTTGTTTGTCCAAACGGTGTGTTATCAAGTAGAGTTGCTCTAGCGCATTTTTTTTTACTTCTTCTAGTTCTCCGAATTCATCTGGTACGTCGTGAATGCGTTCCTTTAAAATTAAAATGCAGTCGATTTCCTCCAAGATATTATCGTTTTGATAATTGTGAGATCTGATCTCTTCCCCAAGCTGTTTAATATCGTTGTTCAGAATATTGGTTAAAAGTATTTTTGACTCTTTTGTTAAGATTTTTGCTTCAATATTTGATATTCTGTTTAACATATTGTTTCCTTTGATAAATGTCTTCAGTGCAGCTGTTTTTCTTCTAAGAGTTGCTAAATAATGCATCGTTTCCTCACTTGAAGTTTCAAATTCTGCATTAGACACTTCGTTCTCTAAATCTTCTAAATTCCTAATGATCTCGTTGAGTTCTTCATTCTTTTGTAAAACACGCCAGAGCTGGTCAAAAATTTTATCAAAAACTGTTAACAGGTTTCCAGAAAAAGAATTGCTTTGTAGAAATTTCTTGGTATCTGTTTGCAATTTTGCAATATTCTGTTTTCTTTGCGAAAATTTTGCAAGAGTGTTTGTACGTGCCAATTTTTTTGTGTACCGTTCATATTTATTTAAAAGAAAGGAAATCGTTTCTAGTTTTTCGGGGAAATGTTGCTCATAAAACTTCCTTTCGAAGTCATGAAGACATTTAAGTACTTCTAATTTCTTGCTAATAATTTTAGAAGAGAAACTATCAATGATTTCAATCTCACTTCTATAACTATTAAACGCGTCTAAAGTCCAAGAGTCTTCACTGTTTAAAATTTCTTCTAGAATGGATTGTAAACTCTCCAAGCTTAAAATGGTTTCTTCGTTTTCGCCCGCTTTCTTTTCTAGGACTGTGGCAGCCTCTTCTACACGGTCCCTAAATACTTGAACTCTTTCTTTAATACAAAGTTCATTGTCTGCAGATAAATTTTCAAGACTGTTCTTCAATGCACGAATTTCTCCCATTTTGATGTCGTACATTTCAATATGCTTCGGAAAAGCAAATTTTTGCGCATAGTTAATGTAATCATCAACAACTTCTAACTTCTGCCTAGCATAAGCAGCTGCTTCTGCCATTAAATGTCCTGATATTTTTTTCAGAATTTCATTTCTTTTGGAAAGTAGTGTTTCATTGATCGTGTCAATCTGCCCAGTTATTTGTTTCACATTTTCCAAAAGATTTATTTTTTCTTCAAATTCACGATTGGAGTCAACTATCTGCGAAATTTTTTCTTCAGTCTGACTTAAACGGAAATTTTGTGCATTAACATTCTCTAAATTATATAGAATAAATTTAGCTTCTTCACAGAGTTGGCGTTTTTTCTCTTTGATGTTGTCATTCTGGCTAGGAACCTGCGGAAGTTTAACATTCATAAAGCACAAAATTTTTTCTTCAATCGACTTTAAAATATCTTCCGAGACTGGGACACTAAGTGTTGTAATATCATCGTGGTAGACATCCAACTCGTGACTTAAAGCGTTCAAAGTGTGATTCGGATCTCCTAAAAACATATTTTTTGTATATTTCTGCGCAACTTGTTCTAGCGTCTCTGTGCAACTTATTTTAGTAATTTCCAACATATCTAAGACTTCTGACAGTACATTTCTAACCACCTTAACGTCTGCTGGAATTACCTTCTGTATGTTGAAGTTTGCAATATGAGACCGCACTCGTTTCAAGCACGGCAAAATCGTCGATGCTAACACGTTTCTAATTTTTACAGGCTCTGTATATGTGTATAATGTTAGAAACATCAAGGACAAATCAATACGTTGCTTAATGCTGAAAGGTTTAAATCGATCTACATGCTGTGCTTGGTGAGAGGTTATTTTCAGAATGTTTGCATATTTGTCCATTTGAATTTTATTACGCTTAATTTGTTGTTCCATTTCCATCAAGTTCTGTCTCATATAGCTAAGTTCACGGTTCGCTAAAAGTGAGAACAAATGTTAATTTTATCCATATTGTTAATTTTTAACGTTACTTACATATAGCTGAGATTTCCAAGTCGTTTCTTTGTGCTGGTAGACTTAGTAACATGCTTTTTGCGTAATTGAGGTTTTCTTGTACAGTTGAACTGCATTTTGACTTTTTGACCTGATCTGAATAAAAATTTAGTGCTTGCAATATTTGCTGTTTGACGTAGAGATCGATTGCTCCTTCGTCAGCATCGATTTTGCGTACGAGATTGATCATTTGGGTGTTTATTGCTTGGATTTCCATTATGATCTAAACTTGAGATATCTGGAACTAGAAAACAAGTATAAGTAGATTTTTTCGATAATTTATGTAAAATGGTTATAGGTTGTACGATCTGCCGGTTGCTGAAACTTTTTATTGAATATTCAAATTTTTAAATCAAATTTTCATAGCACCGAATGTCTAGTGTGTGAATTCCGGCTGAGCTTAGCGTTCGATCAGTTTGTCACCATTCTAGCAAATATTAAAATTGCTTTTATTATGAACAGCAACGTGTTATTGATTGTTATACAATAATTTTGTATCCCAAGAGACACTGATTTTGATACCTACTCTCTGCTCTAAGGAATGGTTCCCAACCTTTTACAATACCTAACATTATAATACCAAAAGCTCAAAAAGTGAGATACTCAATGAAACACTTTCTAATTCTGGTTAAAAATTGATATGGGTGTAATATTTAATTGCGACAGTATGAAATAAATTTTGATATTCCCAAAATTATGTAGTTATAGGTACAGGAAAACTGGAAAATATCCAAAAGAATGCATGTTTTCGATGATAATCTTAAGTCCCACCCAAGAATCTGTGTGTAAAAACGAAGAGGTGAAAAGATTTCACTGCCTCGTGTCTAAATTCTATGGATGTAGCAATTTTCCGAACTTTTCAATCTTCTTGAAAACAGGAAAATGACCTTAAAATAAAAAAAAAAAAGAAATTTTGTTTCAATACTAGAACAAGCAATATCAGCGTGCTCTATATTTACAAATAGATTTAGGACATCATTTATTTCACCTAAATTCTATTAATTATTATAAAAAATGTTTACAGATGGCACCTCAGTATACAGTACTTTGAGATTTAAAAAAAAAAAACAGTGTTCCTACAAATCTAGAATTGTATTGTAAATAATCAGACTGCCGATAAAAATATTAACGTTTATAACGACTTTATTTGGAAACTGAACACGAACCAAAAAAATTGGTTGAAAGTTGTTTCGACAGAACTTCCTTCGCTCCTGAAGTAAACTGAAACATATCCAGTATTTTCGGATGGGCGCACCCTCAGAAGCATCCGTCTACGTTTCTCTGTCGTGGTGAACTTTTCTACCTGTACCTGTTTAGATTAGTGCCTAATAGATTCATCCGCATTCGTTCTAGCGTGTTGACCAGTTCACTTAAGTTTATGTTCCCGCGTGTTATTATTTGCGATAAAAAAAAATAAGTTTAAAAATCACTCCCTTCTGAAGTGTGCTTGTTACGCTACTGAGTGACAGTCCGTTGTCAGGTTCTGATGACTCACAACCCTTGACCTTGAACACTAGGTAATAGCAATTTGACGCTCAAGCGTTTATTGATGTTTATACATCGAAAGAATGTCACGTAGAAATTAGTTTGATTTGAATGAGTTTGTCTTCTCAAAACACAGGACTAAAATTATTATTAATTAATAATAATATTAATAATACTTGGTAAATCTGAACACAATAATTATATAAAATGTTCTGAATTATTATATAAAGACTGGATTTTTCACATTTTCGAGAAAATGGGCTCACTCGTTCTTAACTTGACCGATAAAAAATTTGTGGCGACGTCATCAACATGGATAATACTAGTCACAGCACAAAAGAAAAGTAGTCACAGCGTATTACCAGCGCAAGACATAACAAGGACACGTATATTAACTTGGATTTGGTGCAGTGTAATACTAAAAATAACAGTATTGAATTTCCAAAATTTTCCGAGAAAATGGAGTGAGCCATTCCTGATTTAATGAAGAAAATAAATTGAATCATTCATTAATTTTTTTGTCCCACCTCTTTAAGCAAAACTAAAAAATATTGACTTATATATGATAAAGTGATAAATCACAAGTAAAAACTCATCATATATTGCACATTTTGGGTAGAATTTATTCGGCAAAATTTTGAGATAACGTCATCAATTTTTTGGGGTTGATAAACAGATATGTTTTGATTAACAATTTACCAGGCTTACAATAACTTTAATACGTCTGCAAGATTTCAAAATATAGACTTATTCGATAAAATAAGTTGACTAATTCATTAATTTTTTGAGTCACCCTGTATAAGCCAATCTAAAAAATATTCACGCAGTGATAAATCAGAAGTATTTACTCATCATACCTTGCACAATTAAGATGGGATTTATTCAGTAAAATTTTGGGGTGTCCGACAGTCCCTCAAAGTAGCGGTTGTAAAATTTTACTAAGGATAATAATACCATTATTTAATCAGGAACTACAAAACCGAATGCTTTGAAATCTTGGAGATGTTTTACAGTTATCACAAGCATGGTAAATTTTTTATCAAAATGTATTTGCTCATCCCCCCTAAAAAATTGATGACGTCACCTCAAAAGTTTGCCGAATAAATCCGATCTAGAATATACCAAATATGATGAGGTTTTACTTGTGATTTATCATTGCACTCATATTTTTTAAATTTGCTTATACAGGTGGCTCAAAAACATTAATGAACGGCTCACTCTATTTTCCCAGAAAATTTTTGGAATACAGTAATTATTTGCAGTATTATTCTGCACTAATCCAAGTTGATGACGTCATCACAAAATACATTTGCTAAAGAAAGATCTATGAATTGTCGAAAGCGAGGGATATTAGACTGCTCCACCTCCTCACTGCGGGTTTCCATAATCCCTAAACACTTAGATAGAAAAAAATGGACAAGGATAAAAATTTCCTGGATTGATTACAGATAATTTTGAATTCGAACTTTTTTGAGATATTTTAAAGCAAACAGTAGAGTGATTTATAACAATAGCGGCCGAATACATTTTTCTTAAATTAGATTTTCTGAAATGGATAATTTGCAAAACCGAATGGTTTGAAATCTTGGAGATGTTTTAAAGTCATCATAAGCATGTTAAATTTTTGATCAAAATGTATAAATCCCCCCCTAAAAAACTGATGACTCACTTCAAAATATTGCTGAATAAATCCTATCTTAAATGTGCAATATAATGAGTTTATACTTGTGATTTATCACTGTATTAATATTTTATAAATATGCTTATACGGGGTGTCTCAAAAAATTCATGACTGAGTGAAATTATTTAGATGTCACATTTTCCATTTTTCCAATATTTAATTTGACAATTTCTCAAACCTTCAGTTTTTCGATATTTAAACTTTAGATTTTTTGGTTTGTCCATTTCTCTGATTTTCGATCTTGTGATGTTTCGATTTCTCGAGGTTTTTTTCTCAATATTTCGATTTCTTGTTTTTTCGAACTTTCGACTTTTCAATTTTTAGATTTTGGAATTTTCCATTTTTCGACGTTCTGTATTTTGATTATCGGATGTTTCGATTTTCGATTTTTATATTTTCGAAAATATAAAACTTGCAATCACAGAAAACGAGCTAAAAAAGTTAGACTCTTCCGATCTGTCTGAAATTAAGCTCCTAGACTAAATTTGTAGTGTACAATTCATTTCTGCCATCAGTGTTGAATACTACTTCGATTTCATCCAAAATCGATTTTCATCCCATCTCAAAAAAGATTTTTCAAGTTCACAGGTTCACGATTTTAAGATGGTTCAAGATCTCGACTTGCGGTTTGTGCCATTCGAAAAGCCCAGAAATCAAAAATCGAAAAGTATAAAAGTTGAAAATTCCGATATTGAAAATTAGTACCTGCTAAAATAAGACAGATTTTGGCAAATGACATTCTTTCCAAGAAAAGAGAGGGTGGGTGGGCGGGGTTAGTACCTCCTATGATAAGAGTGATTTTGGCAAATGAGATACCTTCCAAGCGAAGAGAGGGTGGGTGGGCGGGGCTACTACCTGCTAAGATAAGAGTGATTTTGGCAATTAAGATGCCGTCTAAGAAAAGAGAAGGGGGGGGGGCTAGTACTTGCTAAGGTAAATCTGATTTTGGCAAATGAGATACCTTTCAAGAAACTTTCGAAAGTTTCCAATTTTTTTCCTTTTCGATTTCTCAATTGTCCGATTATTCAAATTTTCGATTTATAATTTTTGAATTTTTCCATTCTTCAATTTTTAGTTTTCAATTTTTTTACTTTTGGACTCTTGGGTACCCATGGTGTATTATAGGGAGCCCGTGGAGATTTTTCTATAAATTATTTAAAACAATTTTCGAGGACTTTGGTGTTCTGTTTTTGGAAAACTCTGATCTACCTATTTTTGAGTTAATTTTGGGACCCCGTTTTTCTTTCATTTTTTTTTTGGAAAATTTAAAACAATCTTGAGGTTCTAGGTATGCCTGTTCGGAAAGAATTTGAAAGTACTTTGGAGCCTCTAATGTCTTGTCTTATAATAATATGATTAAATTTCTTAGAGGATACGTCATTTGATAAAATCAGTATTATCTTAAGAGGTACTATCCTCACCCGCCCACCCTCTATTTTCTTAGAGAATATGTCATTTGCCAAAATCGGTTTTATTTTAGTAGGTACTAGCCCCTCCCACCCGCCCTCTGTTCTCTTGGAAGGAATCTCATTTGCCAAAATCAGGTTTACCTTAGCAAGTACTAGCCCCCCCCCCCCCTTTTCTTTTCTTAGAAGGCATCTCATTCGCTAAAAATCACTCTTATCTTAGCAGGTAGTAGCCCCACCCACCCACCCTCTCTTCTCTTGGAAGGTATCTCATTTGCCAAAATAACTCTTATCTTAACAGGTACTAGCCCCGCCCACCCACCCTCTCTTTTCTTGGAAGGTAAGTCATTTGCCAAAATCGGTCTTATTTTAGCAGGTACTAATTTTCAATATTGGAATTTTTAATTTTTATACTTTTCAATTTTTGGTTCCTGGACTTTTCGAATGGTACAAACCGCAAGTCGCGATCTTGAACCATTTTAAAATCGTGAAGCTGTAAACTTGAAAAATATTTTTTTAGATGGGACTGAAATATTCAACACTGATGGCAGAAATGAATTGTACACCACAAAGTTAGTCTAGAAGCTTAATTTCAGACAGATCGGAAGAGTTTAATTTTTTCAGCTCGTTTTCTGTCATTGCAAAAGTTTGGGGTTTTGACCATTTCAAGAT